AGAGGTGCTGGGCACTGAGCTGGAGACTCAGAAGAAACAGAATGAGAGGGACTACGATGCCCTAAAAATCAAAGCCAAAATCATTGATGACCAGACAGAGACCATCCGCAAACTCAAAGAGGTAGTCGGATACTTTGATTGCTGAAATCAGTGTGTTATTCTAAAAGCAAAACAACATACAAGAACCTGCCACTGTTTCAACATTCAGAATGTGCATTTAACCATGAGCATTATATGTGAGTTGAAGTATGTTTATGTGCATTTTGTGTATCTCCTCTGCCTTCCTGCTGCCCAAGGCCTTGCAGGAGCGTGACGATCAGATCCGTAGGCTGCGTGAGGAGGCGGTCCAGGCCCAGAAGAGGAACCAGCAGCAGCTAGAGGAGGAAACAGCTCGGCAGGCTGAGCTGAGGGAGCGCCTGGAGCATCTGAGCCTGCGCAAGGAGGAGCTGAAACAGCAGCTGGAGGACAAGGAGGTAGAACTCGAGGAGGTCAAAAGAGTTTACAGGCAAGTGTTCCTTCATAAACATAAAAACACATAGAGATACTAATTTGGACATATTTATAGTACTCAACCAAAATCCTCAGTATGCATGTTTAAAGGGGCCTAAGACAGCTCCCACTAACATGTGCCTTTAGTTTTTTTCTTTTTCTCTGTATCTTTTCTTTGTATCAGTGATTCCAGTAAGAAGTGGCAGGAGAAGGCAGACCTGCTCACTCGGCTGGAGAGCCAGGTGAAGCGCATGAAGGAGAACTTTGATGCCAAGGAACGTTTGCTGCTGGAAGAAAGAGATAAAGCGACAGAAGCACACAAGTATGATACAATATCATTTGGGAGCAAAAAATTATTTTTAAAATTTGGCCACAAAATCAAAGATCATGCTTACATTGCTTACATAAACAAAACACATAACATGATGTATAGTAGTAGGAAAGTTATGGAATGTGAATAGTATTGTAGCTTTGAGTTGCAGTTAAAGCAGTTCTTATATCCCATATGATGTATGTTTTTTACAGAGTACGCAAGGTTTGTAGATTGAGTGATTATCCTGGATAAAATCACTCACAAAAAGGTTTGATGCAGTCAGAATCTTAGAAGAAACTTGTTTTTCATTCTTTATTTCCATATCTACCAGAATATGCACACATATTTGTCCTATAATTGTCTACCAAACCCAGAAACTAGAGAACTCTTGACAACTCCTCATATTAATATTATATTATTAATGAAGTCTGGGGTCAAATCATAATCAGGATGTATTAGTAATGTCGCCTCTGAGACAGGAGCAGGTGAGTAGTCATGAGATGTCAGGTTAAATAAAATATTTGTTTTCATCACTGCTTCATTTCTGTGGCCGCCCACCCTAAAAAATGCACATGCTAATTGTACCCAAGACAAAAGACAGCATCCTCAGAGTTACCTTAGGTAACATTGTGCTGTTGTTGTCCTGCAGAGCTGCAGTAGACCAGTTACGCTGTGTGGATGATGCTTTTCGCCGTCAACTAGAGTCTGGCCAGGCTTCCCATCAAGCTGAGCTGCTTCGCCTGGCGAATGAAAAGCAGAAACAGATTGAACAAGCAAATCAGAAGGTAACATTTTGATGCTTTTCACAGAAATGGTTTTCCTCCAAGTCGGGAAGCAGAACAGTGTATTCAGACACATGAACAAAAGCCAAGTCTAGCCCTCACTCTAGTGTGGATAAGTCTGTGTGGTGAGTGTAGTAGACAGTTATATGTAAAAGAGTCTTAATATTTTATATTTACAGTAGTATGATTTTGTGTTTGCTTCACTGTGATTAAAAATGGGTACAGGCCTCTGTTGCTTAATACACTTTAATTTAGACATTATCTTTTTTGAGAAAAACTAAACCAAGATATTTTTGGATTGGAATGAAGTAGGACAAACCCTGTGATACAGTTTGACTTACGTTTAACATGTACATTTTGATTCTTTGCATTTCACCCAATAAGGCTTTGAAAGTCTCTAAAAAGGCTTGAATTTGATGACCAAACAAGTGAGAGAACCTTGTATTGAACAACAGTTATAGTTGAGGCCGTCTGTGTGTCTTCTTTAGGTATTTGAAGTGGAGGAGGAGATGCGTCAACTCCTGGAAGAGACTGAAACTAACAAGAGAATCATGGAAGAGAAAATGAAACGTCTCACAAGTGTATTAAAAGACTTTTAAGCACTTTTTGCAGCTATGGCAATGTATGAATTTAAACACTATAGTATGTTCTTTTAATAAATTAAGTTATTTCTATTTTTTTAAGTTAAGTTATTGTTGCATTTTAGTATATCATGAATTATCTAATAAAACCTCTCTTGAGCATATTTGTCTTTTTATTTTTAATTATAGGTAGCAAAGCTGTGTTTTTATTGTTTCAGTTATGAAGAAATTAAATATTGAGCACAGACAATGGACAGATTTACCTCAGTTTATGTTTTCTTAATTACATAAATGTATACAATGAACCTACAAAGATAAAGATCTTCAACAGTGAAATTAGGATAAACAAACATAATTGATGACATGACATCTGTCCCCTCCTCTCCTTCCCCCTCTACAACTGTCTTCTGGCACTTGTAAATAAGAAATTGTTCTTAATGTCTTGCTTGGTAAAATAAAAAAAATACATTAACTGTTTACATGGACAGTCTTACACAACAACCTTTAAAACAACTATTTAAAATGTTATATTTTCTAGTAGCTTTTAGTTCTAACTAACGTAACGTACTGCTTTATTTAAGTAAAAAAAAAATATAAGACCTAATTAAATAAAATAAAAAATAATAATGTTGTTATTTTTTCCAAATTACAAGATAATTACGGGGTAAAACGATCACTGATTTATCAATACCTGTCTGTCCGGTTGAGAAGGGGAGGGCGGGGTCAAGGAGCGGGACAAGGGTTGCCGTGGTAACTGTAACCTACACGTAACGTCCGTTGATTTACAACCCCCTATAGGCACCGCCGTCGCCCCGGTCGAGCGCTACAGCAGACGTTATGTGTACGGAAAGAAATGCTCGTGTATTTGTAGTTAAACCCGGGCGGGCTGACCTTCAAGCTAAAATAAATAAAATAAAACAAGCAGAGACTCTCTCAGTTTCTAGAAAGAAGATGGAGTTGAGACGACGGGGATGTACGCCGACGCCGAGTCGCACGAGAAAAGTTTTGGGGCTCTCACCATGAGTTTGTCAGCCTGCTCCAAGAAACAAGGATGGCGTCCTTGTTTGAAATGTCAGTGAATCGGCGACACGGGCAGGCTCCGTGTTTTGTAGGGGTGAGGAGGGTTGGTTGAGGGTTTGAGGGTGAGACTCGGGTTTTATGCCACCTTGCGGCAGCAGTTGTGAACAAAGGGCTTTCAGTCACCGATGGAGCAGTCGGTGCATTATTTACTCTACAGTGGACTACTCTCGCCATACACCTGTAAGTGGTGTGGTGTGTGTGTGGTGGTGTGTGTGTGTGGCTGTGTGTGTGTGTGTGTGTGTGTGCTGCTGTGTTGTGTGCGTGTGGCGCAGGTTGCAGTCATTGTTGGCATGAATGGAACCCTAACGCCAGGTTGGGAGTTGGGAAGGTTTAAAAATAATGTTACTCGTTACCTTACGTATTACTGGCTGCCAACAGTAATTAGTTAACTCTACTTTTATGTTATTTTCTGCTAAAATTTCAGGCCTTTTAAAATCCAGTTTTGTTGCAGAAATCAAAAGAAATGGGGATATTTCCAGCTGCTAATGTAATGTTTTATCTTCAACTAGTTAATCATGGATGTAGTAGAGGATGGCAAAAAAGGTAATGTAACTAATTACATGACACGTAAAATATTAGTAATTAGTACACTACAATCACTGGGAAATAAGATTATCATGCCAACAGTGTCTGATACAATTACAGTAAATGTAGCCTAACCATATCCAAGTATCCACAATTTAAAGTAATTCAACTTGATTACTTTCAACACCACATAGGCAATAAAGACCAGATAAATGTCAATAAGAAATATTGCGCTAGTCATGTCTGATATACATTACAACCAGAATCGATTTAACATATAAAAAAAGGAAAAGTAGAGTCGGATTTTTTCAGCATCCAGAACATTTGTCTCCTTTCGTCCCTATTTTAAATTACAAACACCCTCCGATTTAATAATAAATCAAAGCCTGTTAAATAATTCCCCCATTATTACTGAAATGGTACAACTGTAATCTCGATTTAGGTGTTTGTGGTATCCCATTACATAATTCAGGTCACATCCATCCGGTTGCACTGTACCGGACCCATCCAAAACAGTTCCAAATCACTGCAAAAAACTACACTTTTTAAAACGGCTTTTTAAAAAAATCGGTTAGCTCTAGGCTCTAATTGTGGTTGTTGTAAGCGGGTAATGTAACATGTACTAGTTCTTATATTATTTCTTACTGATAATGTTCATTGTATTCTTCTATTTCTTCGTTATTGTACAGTGTCTTTGAGTATTTCAGATAAAAGCGCCCCTTTTTAAAATGTATTATTATTATTATTATTATTATTACATGTCATCCGTTACTCCCCAAGCCTGACGCTACATTAAAAGTGAGCCTACAGGTCCCAAAAATGTAATTTCTGGGGTTATTGATCCCCCCAATCGATGTAAAGTAGATAAACAAAACAAACCTAAAGTTGTGAGGCAGTCACATTTAAGACGATGTTAATTATAACTGAGTGTAGGACCTCCTATATTACGGACCCTCTTGAAATAAACCAAGCAGAATCAAATCAGAGAGAAATTCAATTGCTAAATTTAACTCAGACTCTCTCGAAACCCCTTTTTAATGACCTGTGGAGGTCCCGAGAGGGGGCATTAGGGAACCACTACATTAGTTAACAGTGTGACACCAGTCTGGCTGTGGTTCTCAGACCTATTTCATTAATGTAAAGAGTTATTAGCGAAATAAAATTCTATAATATAAAGTTTTTTGACCCATCTGTTTAATCTTGTGACCTTCTGGGATTATCCTGTCCCCTATGAACCGGCAGTCTGGCTCCGTCTCCTTTCAAGTCATCATGCCAGTGAGAGCTGCAACAATTAGACAGACAGAAAATTAATCAGCAGCTATTTTGATAATTGATTAATTGTTTTGAGTCTCTCATGTTTTACAGACAGTAATCGAGGAGATGATCGACCGATGAATTGATAATGAAAATATCCGTTAGTTGTAGTTTTCCTTTGAAACTTTCCTTCCTGTAATCTTTCAAATGATTCTTCTTATGGCTGCTATCAGCTCCCACTAAACTCTAGACGTTAAGAGCGAATGGTTAACTTCCTTCCCTCAAACATTAAGGTTCTGACTTCTGTTGTACCACCTGCCTCGCTGCACTTAGTGCCTTGTGGATGCATCTTTGCCAGACATACCTGAAGTGTCGCCCTCTTCCTTTACATCACAGTGATAAGTAATTTTCCCTCTCTTCTTGCGCGCCAAAGCTGGGTAATGTTTACACAACAGGCTCCTTCAGACCCTTTCCCTCCTCCTTCCTCCTCTGCTATTGTATAACCGTCCCTCTCTGCCAAGGGGTTTTATTTTCTGTTTGTGCAGCTTAATTTGCCAAATCCTTCATTTGTTGGCTTTGCTAGCGCCTCTGTTTTCTCCCCAAGAAGTGTTTTCCACAGAAATATCGGGTTTCCTGTTTAAATGTGTGTTAAAAGTGCCTGTGATGTATCTTGTCAATAAGGATTCATATTAAGCTGCCACTGAGTAAGACCCTTAATGGAAATGTCTGTCTGAATTAACAGGCTGCAGACAGCTTGGCAGTGAAGCAGAAGAGGAGGATATACGACATCACCAACGTACTGGAAGGAGTGGGGTTGATTGAGAAGAAAAATAAGAACATAATCCAGTGGAGGTTTGGAAAATCTTTTTATATTTACAATCGGTGAAATCGCGACTTTCTCACTGTTGTTTTTAATTCCCTTCAATATCTAGTAGTCTCAAAACAGTACTAGTTTATGACCTGTGTTCACGCCTCACACTTTGTCCTCTCACCTGTTATCTCTCCTCGTTTACAGGGGAGAGAACTCAGGAAGCCAAACTCAGGAGGTGGTGGAGCAGCTGAATGTTTTGAAGGCCCAAATCTCTGAGCTGGAGGCCCAAGAGAAAGAGCTGGACAACCAGAAGGCATGGCTAGAGGAGAACATCAAACACCTTAACCACGATCCCATCACTAGCTCATATCCTTAAAGGCCATCTGGAATGAAATATTTTGTGTGTATACTTTAAAGTCCAAGTCAGGTCCGTGTTTTTGTGCATCTCTTTCCTTCAGTCATCCGTTTCTATAATACTGAAACACCGAAGCAAGTTAAATGTGGTGAAAAAGCAACTTGTTGTTAGACTGAGCATATTAAGTGTTGCAAATATTCGTCTTTACAGTCTTTACGTCTGATGTCATTCCAGTGAAATATGTGGATTTGTATGCTAGAGTCTGTCTTTCTCTACAGCTTGTAATTCTAGTCCTCTTGGGGGCCCCATTTATTCATGTCAGGGGAAACAAAAATCCCTCCTTGATTCTTTTAACATTGTTTGCTTATTGAACAGAGAAATGCTATAAAGGGATTATAAATATAATTGCTATTGTCAGTCTCTTGTGAAATCACAGCCAGGCTAATCCTGACTTGCACAATGCTCACAGTCTTGTTTTTCCAGTTTACTGTCTCCATTTTCCTCCACGTTCCTGTTTCTTTAACACCACTCCACTTATAAATTTGTGACACATGAAGACATCTGCAATGCCTTCAGCGGAGACACTCTGCTCGCAGTAGTGGCTCCTGCTGGGACTCAGCTGGAGGTACCGCTACCTGAAATGGTTGGTCTCGCAAGCTTTTTTTAATTGATTTGGGTACATGGAATTTTGTTCTGCACTATGTTAATGATAATAGTCAGCAGAAAGAAAGAATTCACCTTCATTATTGCTTGTTCTTTATGGTAAACCACATGTAGGCCGGTTATAAAAGAAGGCTGATGAAATAATGTTTCTTGTGCCATGTGAAGTCAATCTTGCTAATAAGGGTTCTCAGCACATTAGGCTGCTTACTCTCTACATGCTGGCGTGTATTTTCTGTAACATTGATCAACATATTGTTAACTTACACAAAACCTTGTGTAGCAGTGCAATGTAATGATCATTAGGGAGCACATTTTCAAACTTATTAAGTGCCATATTCAGCTCCATCTGACACCTGCTTAAGAGTAAGTCTAGTGTAAATGACTACTCTCCTTATCTGTGAAGAAATGAAACCTGTGGCCACTTGTGGCAGCAGAAACAAGCTTTTTCACCTTTGCAGTTCATAAGGTGAACTTCTTAGCAAAGAGTTTTCCATTTAAACATCCAGCAGATACTGGACCAACTTGTTTAGCTCCACTATGTTCACCAGCTAGTTTCTAACTGTGTGTGTCTCCCATTTGGTTCGGGGCAGGTAGTGTTCTGTAGTTTCACTGGAAGTCCCTGCTGCAGTTGAAAATTCGGCCATTAAAGTGCTGAAAGTGAACCAAAACTGTAAAGTTGCGGGCCTTAAAACCAAAAAACAACCCGAATGCTCTTTAGAGTTGAGGAAAACTACACTGCATGACAAATTTTACTACCAGCGACCTCTTTGTGATCCATTGTGTCTTAAAAATATATCAATTATACCTGCTGTAATCACAATAAATATATCTCTACACTGCTGCTCCTTAGGGCCAGAGTGGGCAGAAGAAGTACCAGGTGAACCTTCGCAGCCACTCTGCTCCCATCCAGGTCATGCTCATCAACAGGGATTCAGACTCCAGAATACCTGTGGTCTTCCCCGTTCCGCCCACTGACGACATCTGTCCAATGCCAACTCCACCCAGCACCCCCGCCAGCCTGCAGAGGTTCCCTCTCTTAACGTCCATGTACTCCACCTCCAACATTACCTCCTCCTACTGCAGCCAGGACTCTCTCTGCTCAGACCACCAGATGGTGCTGCCAGAGCAGGATGAAGTGCTGACACCATCGTCCACCCCTCCTGATGTACAGATGGGTAAGGACAGGGACCTTTTAAGTTCTTCTAGAAAACCAAATGTAGTTTTTACTGACTTTTAATGGCTTAAAAAAAGACAAAAGCTAGGCTTTACACTTACGTATAACATATTATGCATACAGTAGAAGCTTTAAACATAATGATAGAGAGGATTAAACAAAGCAACTTCAATAGCTTATAAAGAATTATGAAATATTGGTCAGAGTTAATCTTTTCAGGCCACACAGTATGTCTAACAATAGTAAAAAAAGGCCTCACAAAAAAAAATCTCTTACACGTTGAATTAACAGTGGGCTATGCAGAGAAACGAGCTGTAAAATAACCCCAACGTTCTGTCATGCTTGGGCAGTTTTTATTTTTCTTTCTCAATTCTTCCCATCATTATCTAGCTGAAATAACACCCTCCTACCAGTGAGTCAGAAGACGGTTTACTCCCACATTGACAGTTATCGCTTTTGTTTTGTGCCTTATCATAAATGGTGTTGGATGTTCACAGTATCACAGTATCTGGCTGAATGCACTGGATCTTTCACTTAAATGAGAGCAGAGGTTATAGAGAAAATCACGCCGCTGTAGACTCATGAACCAAGTGCTTCTATACTCAGTTGCCACTTAATTATTTTAATTTACCCAGTTAAAACTAATGCAGGAGTCTAATGAGACAGCCCTGCAATAAATTCTAAGTTCTAATGTTCTAATGTTCATTAAAATTGAGGTATTGATTAACATTTATATTCACTATAGAGTCTGTAGTTTATGGTGTTGTTGAGTTACTCCAAAAAAAGGTGCATTTGCCTTTTCCAGCTTTCGTTTTTACTTTAAAGAATAAGTAGGACGCTACTACAGGTTCCTTTTCACTTATTTTACCGGATTAGAGCATTTCTCATGATTCACTGATCTCTTGTAATTTACACAATGGTTTCACTTGACTTCAGTCGAAGCAGTGGGTTAATAAGGCAGAATTAGGTGGGTGGGAGTGCAGGGCCGTTTTTAAAACCATCATCAGGAGCCGGTAGAGGATGTTAAGATATTCAGATGGATTTTAACATTTTTGCAAGATTATTTGTGAAGATATTTACTTACCCTGCATCAGTAGCCATGTTTCATGCCTCAGTTTGAAAATTGTTGTATATTAAGTAGCGATGATGTGAAGATGTGTTGAAGAGAAATCCGCTGACACCGTCTTGATTGTATATATAAAGGTTTA